GGGTGTTTTCGTTCCTCTGTTGTATTTATGCTTGTATGAGAACAAAGACATTAATCATTCATAAATTAAAAACTTGAGAAATGTACAAGATGCTAAAAAAAAAGTAAATGTCTGAATAACTGATATTGTTTTTTCTCTGTTTTACCAAAACATATACTCTTTACCCGCATCCAGAAGATTCTGCAATGTCTACAATAAAAAAAAAACTTCTGAGTAGGTTATTTTGGCATTGTAGAATTTTATTTTTTCCACTAACCTTTAGCACACTTCCGCTAAATACCGGGATCGCGTTAAAAAGGAGACCGACTGTAGATGCACCTGCCAGCTTTATTTAAACAGCAGCTCTTAATCAGCATGTCAGTAATAGCAGTGTTTATTTTGAGCAGATGTTGAGAAATGACCGAGAAATATTACAAAATCCATTGTTAAATCACCTGTGATCATTCATAAATTAAAAACTATTTATACGGAATATATATATTTCTGCAAATTCAAGCAAGCGTGCCAACTTTTATTGATGTGCTAGTAAGAAAAAATGATGCTTGACTTGTTGAATATCTTCATCGGAAGATACTAGCTCTAGTGATATGGGACACAGGAACTACAACCAGGCATTCAAAAGATGCACTCTAGATTGGCTTCGTCAAATTACTTCCCTACAATACCACAAAATATTATTGCCACTGCCTATAAATGTATATGCTAGGTATATCGTTCCACTTCAAAGGGCTTGATACATTTTAAGTGGTGTAGTAAAGATCCACTCCATTACAGTCATAATTTGAGTAAATGAATTAAGCCGATCTACAGTGCATCTCCTTCAAGTCTGGTTGAAATTCTCCATATAGAGCTACATTCCAGTTTCTACAATTTATGGTGTCGTTTCCCAAGAGTGGGCCCTAAAATCATCCAGGCAGCCAAAAGTGTGTGAACCATGAGAAAAAAATCATATAGTTTTAAAGAACTGCCCCCTACTTTTGTACCAAGAAATAACCGAAAAATGATGATGCAGTATGGATGGAATAGGTAACCTGTAATGTGTTAAAATTTTCTTGAAAACAGGGTTATATCACATGTTAGAAGACTCCTGGATCAAAGAATGACATGCAACCCAGTTAATGTCCTATCAGTACGTGTCCTTTTGTAGCACTGGTTAACTATCACAAAGCAAGTCTGGAACATCTGATATGTGATATTACGGTGTTTTGGTACACCTATGAGAGACAAAAGCCATTACTTGTAAAACTATAAATGACTGCTGATTGAAATAATTGTCAATTAACTTTTACGTCATGACATGGGGTTCTATTTTCTAGTTAAAAAGTAATCTTTTGGCTTTGTCACAAACACAGCAACCTTTTGTTTCAATTAGTCACTGCTGAAATAATTTAAGGCTTTTAGCTATTGACATTATTTTACTGATCTACGTAATGATTCCGTTCGTTGGTTTCATATACCATTAATGGTTTCCAGACAATCATAATCAGCAGTAAAGGCTTATGTAAGGCAACTGCTACACAAAAGGGTAATTTGTCAGTCCTGCATTATACCAGTGGAATTGCTGGTTGCTCCACTTGTCCCCAGATTAAGCAAGGACAGGCAAGTGATACCCACTTAAAAATCTTAATGTTGGGTAAGTGACTACTTTACTCTATATAATGCTGTTTGCTAAAGACTTGAGAATAAAGTTATAGAATCCAATGGCTAAATAATATGAAAAAAAAAACTGAAAATGTTGCCAGTTTTGCCAGCGAGTTTGCAATGCATTTACTTTATCAAAATGAGTTCTTGCTGATATGCTCGCTGGCCATTTAGACAATTTTTTCCATTGCACCTTTATAGGTTTGGCCGTAGCTTAGAGATGCACCTAGAATCGCTAATTCAAAAATAAAAATTTGGGGGGAGGGGGGTCGCAGCGTCCCAGAAACTGATTGTGCTCACTTTGGTCACCCCCCCCCCTTATGAAAAAGATGAAATGACACCCTTGGCTAGAGCCCCCTTGGCTTCCAGTGGATTCCTAGAGCCCCCCCCCCTCTCATGCGAACACACCTAATGCTAAGGTAGGGATTAGCAAAAGGGTGATTTGATCTAAGTTGTCAAAGGAAGAAGTGTGGGATTCTGCAAGGATGTCCTTAGGGTCAGGTAGGGGTTAGCAAAAGGAGGAAAGGGGTCTAAGTGAAATAAGATCAAAGACCAGTTTTAGGAGAAATGTCAGGAGGGAGATAATCCAGGGAAGGGGGGGGGTGACAGGAGGAAGCAGAAGAGTCATGGGTAAGCAAGTCTTTTTCACAGTTTGTCTAATCCTTGTCGTAGACAGGGCAGTCTGCTGGGGATACAGAGACAGTTCCACTACAAATAAGTCGACCTCCATTCCTGTTACAGGAAGATGTGTTGTGAAGTGTCTTAATTACAATTCACAAAACATTTCATTGGCCCCGACCTCGCCAATGATTGTGGCTGACATCCATCTTTTTATTTTTAATAACTTTATTTATTCTAAACAATATATACATTAGTCACCTATCCTACACTCCTGAACGGTCTCCTCGAAGTCCATATCCCTGATGCTTGTGTAAGCTGGTGGTTTTGTCCGCGTCCCTCGAAGACACAGGAGAGCTGATCTCAGGAGGGAGAACGAGAGACGACATCTCATCCACGCGGTGACATTACTCTTCGCCTGGCGTTTTTTTTATCGGCGAGCTGCTGTGCCAGGACCGCGTAGAAAGTTGTTGCCCTTGATGCCATCCCACCTGCAGTTGTGAAGACGAGGGGAGTGAAAGATCCCTGCTCCACTTCCTGGATCCTCTCCCCGTACTCCCTCATTTTCTCATTTTCATGTCTGAGGTGGGCCGCTTTCAGCTGCTGGCCCCTATTACTGGAGGCCATGGGGTTGAATATCCTGACGTCAAAAAAGGCTCTCTGTCCTCTTGCCCAGAAGACTCTAGCGCTGACATCAAGGCGAGCGTCTTCTGTCGTGTTTGTTGACCTCAGATCGAAATTTCGTCCTCTAGTCGGAAGTAGTTCCGGCTCTACTCTGACGCCATGACAAACCTCTCTCAGCATCTGAGCGGTGAGGTCTCTCACTTCGTCATGCCGTATGACCACAAAACCACCTGTCTTACAGATCATGGCATGGTTTGAGTCGAAGGGAGATCCGCAGGCACAGTGCTGAAGGAGGCCAGCCATACCTTAGAGCGAGGGCGTCGATAAAATCTTGTCTGTTTAGGCTGAATCCCTTCACTCTTATAGGCAAGGTGGTGAGCCAATTCGATGCTCCCACTTCCTGTGTCATCTGGAGTCTCCTCTTGGCATCCTCTGGCAGTTGTTGTGAGAGGTGGTGTATCTGTTCTTCTTGTTTTTGTTCTCTGTTCCTTGTTATTTCTGTCCTTATTTTTTTGTTGTTCTGCTAGGTTTATTTCCCCGTGTTTGTTCTGATTGATCATTAGTTGGGTTAAACCTGCAGTAAGTTTGATGGAGTTTTCATACTCTATGTCGGCCAGCTTACAGGGGTTTGGAATCCCCAAGCCTCCTTTTCTGGGCGGCAATTCAAATATGGACCTTTCGACGTCCGTTGGGTTGCGTCCTCCTGTTAGAGCCGGTAATAGTTCCCTCTTGATTGTTTGTTCGAGGGGTTCGAGGAGATGTCCAATGCCTGGCACTGTCCTTATGAGGTAGTTCCACCTGTGCCCGATTCCAAATGTGAGAGCGGTGTAGGAGGCGTGTGGTTCGAGGGTGCTATTTTAGCCAGCCTACGGACCTCATTTACCCACTCCTCGACCCTGTCCTTTATAAATTTTTCTCTGTCGTGTATCGGGCCAAGTATTGCCCCTAGATGTTTCTCTCCACCTGTTCTTATTATTATGTCGGTGTTTTTAAATTTTTCCTTGGCAAGGTCAAGTTTTTGGGGCTTCACAATCAGCACAGTTTTTTGGGCATTAGGATAATAGCCTTGCATTGGCCCATAGAGTACAATCTCGTCCCACCATCTCTTTATGTCCTCAATTTTTCCGGCACCTATTATGTCATCAACGTAGGCAACCTGCTTTACTTGCGTCTTATCGTGGCTGATGCGATCTTGCATACATTGCCATGGCAACGGGGTCACCTTGGGTGGTGCCTTCTGCGGACTCTATTATTTCGCATCTTCCGGTTTCCCTGTCACTAACGAATTGTTTGGCGGGTTGTGAATAGAGGTTCTCTATGTACCTAGCAAAGCTGGGGCATTTTATCCTTGTGTTGTGGAGTGTGACCTTTCTATTGATGTTATTGAATGCATTTGATGCATCTACCATGAGCACTGCATCGCAATCTGGCTCATCGAAGATCTTCCTCATCGCGTGTATTGCTGCCTCGCATCCCGCCTTTTGTCCAGCGCATACTTGCAGGTTTCCCACTGCGCTTGTGATGTCATCTTTAACAACTTCCATCACTGCCTTGCCGATTATCCTTCTTAGGACTTCGCCTATGCCGATGGGACGGCAGCCTGGTTTCTTATTGAGCGCGATAAGGCGACAGGCAGTGAGGGCAGCAAGGTCTGGGCAGTTCTCAGTTGCCATTTTTCTGGCCACTACAAATAATGAAGGAGGGTTGAGGATGGGCATGACTGGATTTGCCAGTGAAGTAAGTCAGAGTAGACAATGCTTTAGATTGGGACTAGGATGTCCTTGTGACAAAGCAGGATCAGAACGGATGCGAAATGAAACTTTGAGTATTTGCTTTTGGAGGCATTGTTTGAAGAGGGTGCTGCCAGAGTTAGGGGTTTTAGAGTGGATCACAAAAAATTGATCCATCTGGCTGGGCTAAACAGAATACTCAAAACGTTTGCAGAGGTGGGGGTAGGAGAAGGACGGAGCCTTGTGGAAGTGGGAGTGGCGTTGAGTGAAGTAGTACTGCGGACAGTAGGCTTTGAGTAGTAGTAGTAGTAGTGTTCAGAATCATGGTCAAAGGAGAGCCTGTGGTCAGGGAACCAGAATTAAAATCAGTGGGGCTAGTTGATAAAGGGCCACGCCTCGTTGCCCCTAATAATTACTAGTCATGGTAATCCTGGAGTATGTTCGGGAGAGAAATGGTCCAACCCTCAACGTCCCCTTGAGACGTAAGGACTAGACCATCAAACATGTGAA